AATGCAAGACCTGTCTATGTTATCAAGTTTATACGGATTAAACTTTAGCATAAACAACAGTTCCCTTCTACACTTCACTCTGAAAGCCAAATTCCTGACTATTTCTCAATGCCACTGTTCTGCATCCCTCCCTCTTCGTTCCCCCTTTTTCTTAAGGTTGGGTGAGTGTGGGACTATCAGATTCCTGACCACAAAAGAAATGGCTCCCGCTGCTCCCCCACAGCTCCCACTCCAAGAGGGGACAAGTCCTCCAGCATTTTTCTACCTTGAAGTCTGAGCACATCACTACGCTTTGCAGCTCACCTCCCATACTGCTCAATGAAGTATTTGCGTCTGTTGGGTAGGAGGAAAACAAAAAACTCACTTTTGAGAAAATGTCTCTTCCCCAAATTATTTTACGTTTGTTTCACCGTTTAAGCATTTCAATCAGATGCACGGATCAAGAAGTCACATTTACAATTTAAACAATACTGACACTCCTATAGGGTTTGTCAACAAAACCCGGGTTTAGGCTGGGATCCACTGCACAGTTTTCTCCTGGGCTCCAGCTCTTCAAGTTTAGACTCATCAGTCAAAGCGAGGGAAAAATCCCTTCAGCTATTTTTGTTGCAGGAAAATAATACTTCACCACCAGCTTGGGCGGGGGAAGGGGTTGATGAACAAGAACCTCCTGATTTGCCGTGCGGATCATCCTCCAAGACAAAGAGCATCTTTACTAATTACAGCAAAAAATTAAGGCAGGAGCAGTTGCTGTGGTGTTTCTGGGCGCGCTGGGGGCCATGGGCTGCACTGCCAGCAGCTCAGCAAGTCCCACCCCCAGAGCACCGTGGGGAGCCCAGGAGCAGCCCATGCTCTGCCCGCTCAGCAGGGACAGGGGCTGCAGCAACACTGGGAAACTGCCACCAAAACAGCAAATCTTGGGGGAAAAAAAAACAACCATCAAAAGCCCCCAAGAACTTCACCAAGAGTTCAGAAGTGAAAAAACCTCAGCTCCCAGAATTCCAAGAGGTTCCTCTTGCTGCGTTACAGTCTGAGGCTCTTTCCATGATCAAAATCAGCAAAAGGTTTAGGTTAAGCCAGATTTATACAAAACTGTCTCTAATTTAAGAATGTAAGTGCAAACTTGCTGTGTGCTAACCCTTGCCTCTAGCAGTCACGTAAGCCAAAGGCTGCCTTCAGTCTCTAACAGCTTTAACACACATAGTTTTGCAGGGCTTTATTTAATTTTGACAGAGTAAAAAATAAACAGCACAAGATGATGCTGCAAAATACAAAATTTTTCAATCAAATGGCTTCAGGTTCGCGTCACCTGAGATTTAACACCCACTATAGATTTAAGCATACACCCAATACTCTCAAAAGTACAGTTCCTACGTCTTGCATAAAAAACAGCACAGACTGCAACCTTTATGCAGGCAGCGTAACACGAGATCTCGCTGGTCGGGTCCTCAACTACACACAAAAGCAGCACCGGAGCAAGAACACAAATGTGCATTTGTAATGCGGCAACACTGCCACGAGAACAATGATCTGTGAGTGTTCAAAACTCTGGGTGCCCATTACGTTTGGTTTACTATTGCCAAAGTAGATAGAAACATTTTTATCTCATCACATCATCCAAGACTAGCTGGAAAAAGCCTGGGTGCCCAAAGGGAAAGGACGGACAGGCAGCGGGGTGATGAACCACACGGCTGGGCACTGTGCACTCAGGTCTCTGTTGAATGCCTTGCACCTCAATGTTGGAATTAATCTTTTAAAAAAACACACACACAACTTCACAAAGCATTTAGAAAATTTAAATGACCCGTTCCTTTGGATTATGCTTTTTGCCCAGAAGCAGTGCACAAGGTTTTTCGCGAGCTCCAAGATGCTCATTCAATGTCGTTTCTTTGCGATGGGATTTCTCAACTGTGACCTATAACTTCTCAAAATAAGATCTGGCTACCACGGAGAACTCTTTCTATAAGGGATTAAACATATCTGGGATTTCACCACGCTACTATAGGCCATACAATTTCAGACAACACCAGCAGAAATACTGCTTTTGAGTCACTAGGGATATGACACTAAAAAGCAGGCCAGAGCCTTGCTAAAGCAGTGTCACTTATTCAACAGGATGCAAGGCACCAGATAATTCCCCATTATAACGCACAGGGAGACAGTGAACAAAGACTAAGGGGCAACGGAGATGGCTTGCTGTGTTTTAGTCCATGAAGGAAACGGTTTTGGTACCACCAGGAAATCCCAACCTGCTGTGGTTGTCCCACTGTGCTCTGCCCCAGCGCTGGATGCCATTCGTGGAATCACAGAACCATGACTGGAGACCAGCTGGTGCTCTATGTGTGAGGGCTGCTCGGAGCTCCACACCCTCACCATGGCTGCAGTCAGCCAAGAGGATTTCAGAGCATTTCAATCTCTCTCACACTATTCTGCTCCTGGAATTTCTGCTTTCAGAAAACAGCGTTATGGGTTTGATAAGCGAGGCCAGGACCTGACATGGAGCAGGGCTCCCTGTGAGGTGTGGTTCCCAAAGATGGCACTGACGCTAACGTGTTCCCATGTCACATCCTGCACGCCTCAACCAGCAGCTCCACCTTTAACAAATGCACTGGGATACTGAGCTTCATCCCAGCAGCACATCACCTCCCAGACAGCGGCCAGTGCCAAATGGTTAGTTAATCAGATAAGAAAGGTACTCATTCTTCCTTAACAAAAAAAAAAAAAAGAAAAAAAAAGCTATTACATTCAAGCAGACAGTGTGTAGATGGGAGCTGGCAGATTCCACAATACAGTCACGTCAAAAATGGCCTCCTGCAAACTGTTCCCTCACCGAGCACTCAAGCCGAGCAAGGAGAGGAATCCTTCCATTACCAGAGGACGTCTCACCGCGGCACGGCAGCTTGCTGCACGTTGTGCCATACAGCCCTGCAAGCAGCAGCATATAAATGGTGTTCTGCAGGGAGCAGCAGGGGGAAACTCCTCTGCCTGCAGCCTACTCCCAGCCCCAAAGTTGAGCCGGGCCATTAGTTTGACTGTTCCCCACTCTGTGAATGGAAAATCCCTTCTCAGCACTCGCAGGCTGCTGTCTGCCGCACACACCCACCGCGCACAGCAGAAATTCCAGTCAATAAGGCGAGTGGGGCCCAGCCGGTGGAAGGGGAGGAAGGAGACACACAAACAATAAGGCAAGCATCTGGCTCTGCGACTGGCTGGAAGGAGGCCGGAGTTCAGAGGCGAGGCGGCTGCAGCCCGCAGTTCACAGGAAGATCCTATCAATCCTCGCTGCCCTACTTTTCACACAGATCAGAATATCTGCAGAGGGTAACCCAGGGTTCGCAGCCCATATTCTGCAATTTCACCCAACGTGGGATGACGACGAAAGACACCTCAATGGGGTTGTCATTCCTGCTCCTGCTCGGGGCTCTGGGAACAGGCCTGAAGAACCCGAGGCCTCCCCTGCCCTGGCGCTGCGCTAATGGGAGACTGGGGAGCACCAGCCCTGCCCAGCTCCCAGCCTGCACCCAGAGCGCTGCTGTCACCCCGGGGCTGGGAACGGCCTGGGTCAACCGCATCAAGAAAAGAAAATAAAATCCCAGGGCTTCCTATACGAGCGAAAAGGGATATCTCCTCTTTCTAAGGAAGGAAAAGGAAATTGGTTCGCTGAGTTCGGGCCTTAAGGCACAGCCGTTCCAGAATGCCTCGCGGCGGGGGGGGCCGTCTGGAACACGGCGGCCCCGAGCTCCGGGGCCGCATCCCGCACAAAGGCGAGGCTCAGAGCTGCTCCCCGTTACATAATGGCCGGGGGCCAGGCCGGGGCCCTTTCCGGGGGCACGGAGATGGGAACCCCTCGAGAGGCGGGAAAAGGTTCGCCCGGGGGTCGCTCCACGGAGGGGATGCGGTTCCCCCGACGGCGGCGGAGGACGGCGGGGCCGCGCAGCCCGGCGACACCCAAGGGCGGCCCGACGGTGACCTTGCGAGCGCCGAGCCCCCCGAGCGGCCGCGGCCCCGGCAGGGTGAGCCCTAGCACCGTGAGAAAGCAGAAAACGCCGCGCCGCCCGAAGGCGGCCCCGAGCCGAGGGACGAACCGCCGGACGGAGAGCGCGGCAGGCCCAGCGCTCGCTACCGCCCACGAAGCCCCGCGGCCCGGCGGCCGGCCCCGCAGCACCGAGCACGCCAAGACGGTCCGCGCCGTCGCACCGGGCCTCCCTCGGCGGCGGCCCTGTAGCTCCGCACTGCTGCCGAGGGCCCGCTCCGGGGGCTGCCGGTGCCGCGCGCCCGTCCGCGCGCTCCATTCCTCCCTCCCGCCCGCCGCGGGCCCACGCCTACCTGGCCGGCCCGTTCCCCGGGCCCCGCGCGGCACTAGGCCCGGCTGAGCGCCACGGCGTTTCCTGGGCGGCCGGCGGCAGCGAGCCCGCGGCGGCAGCGCCAGCCCCTCCCCCTGGCAGCGGTACGACGGCTGCTCCCCAGGCCGGGCGGAAACGGCACTGCGCGCACGGGGATCCCCGGCGCCGGCGCCAGGGGCGCCCCGGCCACGCCTACTCGCGTTCCCCGTTGGCTGCCACGGCGCCGCGCCGCGCCCCGCCGGGCCGCCCGCCGCCGATAGCGCCCCGCCTCCCCTCGCTTCCTATCGGCGGGCTCTACGCCCGGCCCCTCCCGCGTTCTTTTCTCATTGGAAGCCGCCCGCCCACCCCGCCGCTCGCCTCACGGACGCGGCGCTCCATCGGCTCGCCCGGCCGCCAATCGGCGGGGGAGGGCGGGACGTCGCCAGCGCCGACGCGGTGCGGCCGGGCGGGCCGCGACGGTGCCCGCCGGCCGAGGCGCGCTACGTGCTGAGGGGCGGCGCCGGCCTCCTCCCTCCCCGAGGCGCAGCTCTCCGCGGGGTAAGTCCCGCGTCGGGACACGTGGCAGAAAGAAGGGGCGGCGCGGGCGGCCGGGATTCCTGGGCGGCAGCCGCGCGGTGCCGCGCGTGCGCAGGTTGGGAGTGAGTAGAGCGCGGGGGGGAAGGCGGGAGGCGCGTCGCGCACGCGCGGTGCTCCGGGTGCGGGGCCTGCCGCTCTGCACGTCCGCGCTGCGGAGGGGCGGGGGTGTGCGGGGGTCCGCCCGGGGGCGGTGCGGGCGGCCCTCGGCGTCGCGGGGCGGTGGTGCTGCTCTCCTCGGGCGGCCGCGTCCCTCCCCCTTCGGGCCCTCCTGAGGTGAGGGGAAGGGGGGCGCACCGGGCCCTCTGTCGCCTGAGGGGAGGGAGCTCCGCGCCCCACACAAAGGGCGCTGCCCGCGGGGGAGGAGGGGCGGCCCGGCGGCCGAGGGAGCGGGAGGGCGGGGTGGGGAGCCGTTCTGCAGGCCCGAGGCGGGACCTCGAGTGCCAGGGGGGCCTCGGTCGGCCGGTCTGCCTGGGAGCGGCGCGGCCTGTGAAACGACGTGAGGGGGAAAAAGAAGCAGGGATCTCGTGACTGACCGTCCGTTCTGTTTAATGCCCGCCGCGCGCCTAAGGCTCCACGGCGGATGACGGCCGCGCAGCCTCGCGAGGCACCGCGCTCAGCTCCTGCGGAACTGAACTGAGTGCAAGCTGCCGGCGGTCCGCCCGGCTCTTTTCGTCGCGTCGGTCCCCCCGCCGCCGCCCCCGGGCGGGAAATGGCCGCAGGGGGTGAACCCGCAGCGCCGCCATCTTGTGCTCAACTCCCGCGGCCGCCGGAGCGGCCGCGAAAGGCGCTGGCGGCGGGGAGGCGGCCCCGAGAGCGGGACCGGACCGGCGCCGACCGGTCGTAGCGAGCCGCTGCGGGGCTCCGCCCGCGGGGATGCGCGTGCCCGGTCACGGGGTGCTGAGCCACGCGTGCTGCAGGCACTGCGCGGCCGTGGCGCGCTTCTCGGGGGCGTAGCGCAGCGCCGACATCAGGAAACTGGTGAATGGAGGCACCTCGTGTTTTCTCCACTTAAGTCTGTCCGCCAGGATGGCGTGGAGGCTGCGGGGAACGAGCCTGGAGATCCGCAGAAGAGCACCTGTTGGAGAGCGCGTAAGCACAGTACGTTAATTACGCCCTCGAGAGCGATAGGCTGTTGCTCCTCCCCTCACACAACTCATCCAAATCCTCCTGAAAGATCGGTCTGTGTGCATCTTCGTGTCTATGCTTCACGCGCACTCCCACTTCTAAACTTCGCTCTCTGGTGTTTCAAAAAATCACCGTTACAAGTTAGCATGTGGGGCCTCTTCATTCGTGAGCACTTATTAGATGTGAACACATCAAGCACTGATGAAGTGTGCCCAGGATGGCAACACCAAAGTCATTCCTGTGGGCCCTCTGTCTACCTGTGCACAACCCAGAGTGCGTTGTTGCCACAGACACGAGCCATTCATGTTTAATTTGCTTTGTGCCTGCTCACTCCATGAGATTAAGGGTGACACTACTGACCAGGAAGTGAGCCTTGTCCCTTGGAGTTAGTGGTGTAAATGCAGTGATTCAGGTTAGGCATGTGTGGTTGGGCCGGTTTGGTTCTCACGGAGAATAAATATACAACAAGGATTGTTTTTGACTCATCTTTTGAGCACCATAGAAGGAATAAATGAACAAAGAGCTGAAAATGAGCAGGAAGGTGCTTGCTGATCTACAGCACTGCATTAGTGTGCAACATGAGAGGAATTGTACCTAGACAGGCTGTGTGGCTGGTTAATATGAGTGAGGAGGAGGAGGAGGATGGACTGAATTGCAGAAGGATGGAGTTATGTAATGCCTTGAAGACAAATACAACTATTTCAAGCTTAATGAGCCAAAGGAATTGGGAGATTAAAACAGAAAGACATTACAGCTGGGTCAGAAGACTAAATATAGCAGCCATGGTGGAAGGATGGGAGGATATGAGTGTCCCATTCCTCTTCATCATTGTTCTCTGCTAGTGAATGGGTGAAATCCAGCCAGAGCTGCACACTCGCAGCTTTCCTGCCATGTAGCTGTTTCCTGTCCTTATTTCCATTCTCTCCAGCTCCAAAGGAGAAAGGATAGAAATCTTTTCCTTGCTCGATATTTACTATGACCCTTTTTGAGGTTTCTGTATTTGCATTTATTGCTGGAATGCTCCTGGATTCCAAAGGTGGCCACGCGGGAAGCGTTACTGCGCTTTACGAAATCTCCACCTCTGTTCTGTCCCTGCTTGTAGCCTGCACTGTATAACATTACTTTTGATGTCTTTCAGTAGTAGCTGAGGAGTGTATCAGAGATCCACAGTGATTTTCAGGGTAAACTTCCTTCGGCTAATTCTTACCTGGCCTTCTGAAAAACTTTGTTGACTTGTTCCAGGATAAAGCAATCTGGGGAGGGATTCTTCCCAGGAGTTCAATAATGCGAGCAACGTGATCTGGACAGAGGAAGAGAAAACATGTCTAGATACAGAGGCAGTGATGCTTCTGTCAGTGAAATGAATACAACTGATGGAGTCCTACCATCATCTCTGGAGAAATATTTCCCAGGTTGAGGATTAAATAGACACTCCCCCGTTGCCATTTCAAATGCCTAGAAATGGAGTAGCGTTAATTCACTGACCAACTGGGCGTTTTTCTTCCTCATGAACTGTGATGGGAAGGGGAACCGGCACAGGTACTATCACACAGAACTGATAATGAAACATGGAAAGATTCACGTTGCTTTGATGCACCACTGTGAATCAGCACCTTTAGTTCCATCAGGATGGAAACCAGTGTGTGCCTGCTTCAGTCAAATACATGAGCTAGCACCATGCTTGCAGTGTGAACTGCCTTAAGCATAAACTAATTACAATGAATATATTTGCAGCATGCTTTCAGTCCAAAGTGAAGGAGTGCAGACAGCCTGCTTTTCCTTCTCTGACTCAGGAATGGCAAGGAGGTTGTGCTCCACATGCAGTGTGCAGGTGGGTGCTGAGGGCTGCTGCCCTGGACCTGCCAGTGTCAGTCACCTTCTGTGCGTGCTCAGCACTGTCTCCAGCCCTACCAGGCAGCCTGTGCTCCAGATGTCTGCAGGAGTGCCATAGTCCAATCCAAGCAGCACTTCCAGGGCGCGGTATGGCTGGGTCTGTATCTCCTTAGAAAAAGGCTTATACTGTAACAGAAACAAACACCCTTTGGTTGGCTTCGAGTAACAAATGAGCAACAGTGATGCTTGTGGCCACAAGCTGTCCATGCAATCACGAGGAAGAACTGAAGGCGTGTAGTAAATGCGTGCAGGAGACATCAGACCCATTCTCAGCCCTACTGGCGCCACACTAAATTTACCTCCCAACATTTCACAGTGAACTTGTTCACAAATTTCTGATTTACAGACTAACTGCAAGTGGAAGAAGGATCCAAAGCTGACATATCTCTGGAGTGTACTGCCCAACTCTAAGCTGGGAGTGATGAATCAGTTCTGCTTTAGCACACTCCAGAATAACTGCTCAGCTGTAGAAGGACTGACACCCCAGCTGTGAAGGAAGTGCAAAGCATCTCACAGTCACAGGACCAAGACTTGCAGCCGACTCACTGTCCAGCATGCACTGCCCAGATCAGCAATTTTCACTTCTATGCTCATTAAATCAGAATCTTCCAGTTGATTGCCAGGGTCACCTCCTAGATGGAAAGGAGGGAGAGAAATCAGGTCTTTCTCCAAACCAACAGGTGTGCATCACTTACCACAGAAGGTACTTGTAGACCTACCTGCCTTTGAAGTTTTTCAACCTAGCAATCCAAAAGTGCTTTAGACAGGTGATTCTTTTCATCACCAATAAAATACCACTTCTCATTTTTGAGGGAATGCAAAGGAAGGGCTGCTAACCAGTAAGTCTAAGAGAATGTTATGGAAAACTGCAGCTTGCAGTGGAGTGGTGTGACCACACACACCTCCTGCTGAAAGGTGCCTGCCTGGCAAGAGTTGTCAAGAACTGTCAAGGTAGCATTTTCACATACAGACCCTGGAAAAGGGTAATTTTTGTTCTACTGCTTTGTAACTGTCAACTTATGTCTGGTATCATGCCTTTTTGTTCCCAACAAAAGACTCTGCCAATAATTTAGCATTTGTCTTTTGCCCCAGGGTTTGAGGGACAAAACAGCAACATCATGGGAGAAATGCTTGTGGGAGAATATTATGGAAGAAAATATGAAGAGTCTCATTGCTGGGAGACTAAATCCCTTGAGAAACTCCCCTGCCCTATGGCTTATCATGTATTCACATCATTCTCTGAAAATAAATCACATCTCAAAAGGCCTCAAAGAGTACATACAAGTCTCCCACAAACCTCAGGAATACGGGAAATAAAAGAGTAGATGTCATACAGTTTTTGGATCAAACCAGTCAGTATGTATCCTATTCCGTAGCTGAAAGAAGCAGTGAGGGAACCATCCTGTCCTGAAAGCTGTAAGAATTAGCTCTGAGGTTGTGCTCAGCTTATTGACACGTGCCTCTGATTTTGCATCGTTCTGCACGCACGCCTTTGTGCAAGGCCACTTTTCTGTTGGTGCCCTGAGTAACTTGGAGCCGCTCGATGTGGGGTTTGTAGAAGCAGACAGGAGAGGTGTCAGCAGTGTGAGCTGGCTGTGTTGTTTTGTACCAGTGCTGTGGGAGATGTGAACTCTTAAGCTATCTGCACCTACTGCGCCGTTTCATTTCTGACAGTAACCTCCTAAGTCTCTGTTGCAATAAAACCCCCAGTGCTCACCTGGTGCCTTTAGCCTCAAATCTGTTCTCTGGCCACAGTCAGCAGCATCAAGCAGAAACCTCTGGAGGTTTTTGTCATGAATGTACAGCAGCACGTTCTCTGGTTTGATGTCTGCGTGGATAATCCGGCAGCGCCCATGCAGGAAGTGCAGGCCTGCTAGCACCTGTGTGAGCCAAACAGCACTGAGGTTAGCAACGTGGCAGATACTGTATGGGGGTAGCAGTTGCACCTTTAAGAGCAGTAATGTTGGCTGAGAGTTCCTGTAGAAGCAGGCACAAGTGGTTTCACCCTGAGAATGGCCAGCGCCGCAGCCCACACACTCGGCACAGCCAGTGACAGAGCGTGGAGATCTGGCAGAGGACACAGCACAGAGTGCCCAGGTGCCAGCACAGATGGGCAGGCCAGGAGAGTTGGAAATAGGGCGAGATACGAAGAGGCGCTGCGATCACAAAGCAGAATTTTCTCCTGAAAAGCAGCTTTTGTTCACGTGGCTGGCATGTCTTCAGCCCACCAAGCCTATCTGTTAATCCAGCATTATCACTGGAATGGAAGTTGGGAGTCAGTTATAGGGTGTTTGACGTGGCACAGGAGGGAGTCCCATCATGCAAGCGAAGAGAAGGGGTAAATCATAACGCAGCCAGGAGGAGGCAGGGATGATGAGTGAGTACATGCAGAGAGGAATTAAGGGTACTGCAGGAGAGCCATGTAGGGAAAGAACAGCTCACGGCGGAGCAGGGAGAGCCTGGCTGTCACAGGGGAGAGATAAACAATGCGTGCAAGAGAAACGCTCTATCAGAGATCAGTAACAGTGAAAAGGCTACTAGGAGGTTAAGTTGCTCTTTTAAAACACTGGTCAGTCGTAAAGGCTGGCAAATATTCTCTGTATTATCAAAATCTATTCTGGGATGAACACCAGCCCCAGGAAAATACCAACCTTAAATGGTAACTGTGAAACACAAGGAAAGATTTAAATAGCTAAACTGGAATAAGTCAGAAGTAAATGCTGTCCCAATGCTGATCCAAAGGGGAAAAAAAAAATAAAATTACAGTTACACAGATAAGAGATCAAACAAAAGGCTTGGGTGTGAAACAGAGCATATCAATTAATGCCACTATGTTTTCATCTAACTTATTCAGGTGTTAGTGGAGCTGCTTTCGAGGAAGAAGATATTCCAAGGAAAGGATGGAAGAGGAAATGGTTTTCTTTCTGTGTCCCTAGAAGGGCATAGGAATCAAGGTAGCAGATCTTCGTTTTGGCAAGTCTGCAGACTTCTGATAAGCCTTGGCACTGGCAGCAAAATGTAATATTAGTTATTCTTAGACTCAGGTTTCCTGCTCCTTCGCTGTTCACAGACAATGCATAAGAAACTCAGCTTTCACAGACTGTTTGATCAGCATGCCACATCCTTACAGGGGATGAAGGAAGTGTTGGCTCTGAGCAGGAAAACCTCAATATGGGTGGAGGACCAGCCAACCTAACCAGCAATTTAAAAGCTCGGGGAAGGAATCAGCTGTGGGGCAGACCTTCAGCAGCCTTGGAATTACTGGGCAAACAGCTGAAGCCAGCCCTGAGCCCTGCTGAACTCACTGGGGCAAATGCTAGCAGTCTGGCATCACTACCATAGGAAACTTCAGATGATAGCAGCAGGACAGAGAAATACATGTGTTGTTGTTGTTTTTTCCCAACAAGAAACATATCTATGGCAGTCTGTTCATCTTGTGAACAGCTGAACTGCTGGAAAATTCAATAATTTGCTGAGGTGTGAATGAGATACAAACGTAAGTGCCAACTCTGAGTCCCCTGGTGCAGATCTGCAGCTCCCTGACTCTTTACATCAATGGTCCTGACCCCTTTCCAAATCCTCTGAGACTAATAGGCATAGGCAGTAACACACATTGTCCCTGTATTATTGTGACTATGTTAACCTCCCATTCTGGGTTCCATTTGACATTTTTTCTCCTCCCACCCAAAATAAATAGCTCCTGTTTTCCTTCAAATTGTATGTCTTTGGCACTGATTCTGTTGTCTCTTTCTTTGCAGATGCAGTCATACAGAAATTCATGGCAGGTGACCCCAGGATGAAGACTATGGTGAGTTCCCCAGCCAGCACTCCCACAGTGCCCTCACCCAAGCAGAACTCACCTGCTGTAAAGATTTTTTCACAAAAGGCAAAGGCAATCCCTGGGCTGCATAGTTACCCATCAGGAATTGCAGAGAAGGACCCAGCGCCTCAAACACCAAGCATGTATGTGGGGAAGAGTCATGGATTCACCAACAGAGAGCACATGCTGCTACCAGCTTCTTGCCCTTCACCAGAGCAGCCAAACATTTCATTAGCCAGCCTCCCCTCCTCCAGCCACCTTCACGTTCTGTGCTCTAGCTATTGCCCTGCTCATCCTCCTCGTCTGAGCACAGCAGTTGGATCTGTGTTATCCTGTGACTCCCCAGCACAACCTTGCTGATTGAGAGCTGCAGTTCTACTAGCAGAAGGATATGGAAGCCGTTCTCTCCAATCATTCTGAAGTCATCTAATAAACAGATGATGTTTTCTCCTGCCCGATCTTTCTTCTTCATACTGCTTACCTGAGGGGGAGATTCCAAGAAAACTGCAATTAGAGACATATATGTGCACAAGAACATCTTGCACCCATTTTATCCTGTTCTGCAGATCTCTTCCAGGATTGGCATTTTATAACAAATCTCATGAGAACAATATCAAGCAAACCAGACTCCCAGAACACAAGCAAACTGTGTTACTATGGAGTTAATTCCTGTGTGCTGTCTTCGTCTGACCATGTGACAGCATCACCTTCATAGCATCTGAATAACTCAGACAGCTGTGGTTGTCTGCAGTCAACTGAAGGCTGCCTATTCTACCAGGGTGCAGAGCTGGTTCTGCAGCTGGAGCAGTCGAGGGAAAAGGAGTTGGCTTTGGTGCAACAGAGATCTCTGATACCGAGCGGTGGGGGAAGAAGTGAATGCAGATCTTTCAACAAGAACCAGGAGACATCAATAAACCTAGTACTTGGGAGGGTCAGAAAGAAACCAGAGAAGGTGGTTCTTCACAGAGTGCACGGATGATTGGTAGCAGTTTTTGTCACAGAATGCTTCAGGTGCTGAAGCTCACATCAGCTTGCAGGAAAGCAGGGCAGGACTCTTGAAAATAAATCCACTAAGAATTACTGCTCAGCACGTCGCCCTTGGCCCAAGAAATCTTGAGCTGTAAACTGTTCTTGGCCAGGCAGGGTGGTGTTCAGTGGGAGCAGCACCTCGTGCTTAGCTTGTCTTCTTGCCCACATGGATGTCTGCTGCTGGTATGGGGTGCCTGGCTAGGCAACACCCCTCTGCCCCAGCGCAGGTGCTGTTGGTATCCCCAGCTCTTGCACCACCACCACACATTTTCATGGCAAACTGTACCATGAGTTTGCTCCCACAGAGCACCGGTTCAGCTAAAGCAACGGCTACTGCACCTACAACTTTTAATATATAAATATATATTTATATTTGTATTTATTGTATATGTATTTGTTTTTTCTTTCTGACGTGGCTGTAATTATGGGTGATTTTGGTTTGCTTTTTGTGCAGCTGCCAGATCTGTCTGTGCCAGCACCAGGAGGTTTGTTCTCACAAAAGTGAGCAGCTGTGGAACCAGGGAGGTCCCAACTGCCTCCTCTGGCAGAACTGTGGGCACGGACCACTGTGCTGATGGAAATGACCCTGGGAACAAGCTCTATTCTGTTGAATGGAAGGCGTGTCTTTCTGAGAGAATTAGTAATAAATTAAGGGTAAGGCTTGGTCTACATGTAGAATTGTGCTGATGCATAGAAAAGCACCCTTTGATTACATTTACTTTTTACTTCCTCTTGCATCACTGAGTCTGGCTCATATCCCTTTGGATACGGCCTGCAGAGGTGCAGATGCGAACCAAGCCTTTCCCAAACCTGTTGGAAAAAGGCCTCAGAGTAATTTGAAAGGCAAAATTTAATGACTTTTATTCACATACAGCTGATGTAATTTCACATTTAGGTAAACTCTAAGAATTGCAACCATGAGCTTTCTAGAACTAGCAGGTCAAGCCATTTTCAAAGGCAACTAGTTGAGACTCAGATCCGCGTGCCTAATTACTGCATCCATTAGCAAAAGCAGAAGGAAGCTTTCTGAGTTGAGAGGTTATATATCACATTTGCTTTGTCCTGCATTTTTTTTTAAGATGCTTCCTTTTGCTTCAGTATTTAGTTGTGATAGAGCAATGGTCTCCGAGCTAGGAAGTACACAAATATAGTGAAAACATTCCCAACTGTGGTTAAGAACAACATTGCCACATTTTCTTGTTGGTTCTGGTGGTTTCCCACCCTGTGTTTCTGCAAGTTCCTCTTATTCACTGGATTTTAGTCTCAGCTTAAAAAAAATGGGCCAACAGGACAAGTGAGACACGGCCACCTGTCCTACATTACAGGAGGAATTACAGGAGGAAGGAGGAAGTGCCTCTTCTAGGGGTCATGGCCAAGCAGTGGTGACTTAATGAATTATCTGACATTGTTTTCCATTCCCCAACCTTGCTCCTCAGACAGACCTGGAAGGAGAAGGGACAATGAAACTGATACCTCAGTCTGAATTCAGTAGCCACCTCCACAGAGAAAAGCACAGAGCCTGGGAAGATACGTACACATTTGAGGAGAGAGAGCTCATCCTGGGCAGCCTCAGCAAAGCCTTCTCTGCTCTTCAGCACCTTCACAGCTACATTCTTCTTCTTCCTACAAAAGGAACCACAGCTAGAAGTCAATGCATGCTGGTTGGCCTACAAAGGGGGCAAGTCCTGCCCAGGAGATTGGCCGTCCTTCCCTGCTGCCCCATATGGCATCAGCCCCTCACCTCATGTCCTGGCACAGCCAGACAGTAGCAAAGGCCCCGCAGCCCAGCTTGCGCACAGCCTGGTATCGCGCGTTGAACACCTCTCCTTCCTGCACTGGGCGGTGGCCTCCTGTGGGGACCATCACCAAGAAACATTA